ATGTACATGTACTATAGTTAGTTACAGCCTATACTTAACATGTACATACTGTTTTCACTTACGTTCAATAGTTTTGCTTGGTAGCTTATTATCAGTAGCTTTAGCACGTCTTTGCTCTCTTGATGACATTGTTAACCACTCGAGCATCTTACGGGGAAAAAACTTCTTTGTTCTTGGTGGTCTTTTCTGTCAAATGATTAAACAATCATGATAATGTACTACTTGGAACATGATGCCTCTTACCTCCCTCTCTCTTGCAATGATCTCAAGTTGCTTTTGAACTTTATCCATCATATCCACAAGACTTTGCTCCTTCTCCTCTAAATTTTTCTTCATTGCTATTACCCTTTCCTCCTGCAGTTTCATTTGCTGTATCAAATGTTTCTCTTTGTTTTCAACTTCCTAGTGGGTTAAAAGGTTACTAGCAGTTAGGTAATAAGCAGGATCTTACCGATTCGACTTTTTTAAGATCATTAAATTTCATCTTGACTTCCTTCTTCCAAGTTGATTGAAGTGATTTGAATTCTTCATCCGAAGTGTACAGAAACTCTGTCTTTTGTATTTCTACTAATTTCTCCTTGACTTGAGTGAACGAAGGTCTCTTTGAGTGCTCTCTCTTCCAGCAACCTATTATGTGATTGTACAAAATAATAAATGGTAAATGAAAATGACAAGACATTTTGAATACAATAAACCATAATTTTATTTCAGTTACTATAGCAATACATATAGTAGGAGAGTTTTCATTCCTTGAATTTTTGTTTGTTTATTATCATGCATTTAAAAAAACAATAACTCAAAATAATTATGTAAAACAATGCTTCATACATTGGTTAGACTATTCATACAGTATGCTTCTCACATTTACTCACTTTCTATTCAATAAAAATACTAATAAACTCAAACCAATTAATAAGGTAGTTCTTATTAGTACAGACACTATACAAGCTTGTTTGCTACGAACTTGTTTGTTACAAATATATGTCTGCTACAAATATATGTCTGCTAAACAGAAAACCTCCATGTGTTCATGACTAAATGTCATTTGATGCAGTGAACTAATCACTGTGACAGCACCATACCACAATTTTAACATGATACGAGAACAATCAACACTCGTATTTCGACTTTTACATTTTACACATCATAAAAACAGCATTTTTCACAGTATAATTATGTATGCCACATGTCATCAAATCCTTTAAATCTCTAAACAGTAATATGTATGCCCTAGCTACAACTTACAGCTCATTAGGTCTCTTAATGATAGGGGGCAGTGCTCTGGAATGGGCAAAGTAAGTGTCCCGTGTCCAACGCCATAAGCAACAACAAACATGTCAAGTCCGCTGTAAGGCTTTTCTCCTGTTAATATCTCCCACAGTACAACGCCAAAACTGTTAAAGAAACACATTCAAAGTTTACAAAAACATACACAAATATTCTCACCTCCAAACATCGCTCTTTTTTGAAAACTCCGAGGACTTGATGACCTCAGGAGCCATCCATGGGTAAGTGCCAGCGCCACTGAGATGAGTTGTGTTCTCTATCTCTCGGGCTAGGCCAAAGTCAGTGATTTTGATTAGGTTTCCTTTCAGATCAGCTGGATTGACTTCATATTGAAGCAAGACTATACATACACGGAAAGAAGAAAAGAAAGAGAGAATGAGAAAGAAGAGAGAGAGGCCCAATAACTCCTGACCACAATTATATTTTCAATTGTAGAGAGGAAAGACTATATAAGGCATGCTAATTGGTTGTAGCATGTTAGTATTTATGTCACCGAAAACATATTGCTATTAAAATTCATGAGCAATTAGTTATCACACACACACACACACTCACTGTTGCTTGATTTGAGATCACGATGTATCAATGATGGTGTTATCTCATGATGCAGATACTCCATCCCCTCAGTTATCTGTCGACTCCAGTCCAGTATAATGTCCACAGTTAGCGTAATATTTCTCTCGTGTAGTATCTTCGATAATGGGCCACCTTTAGCATACTCCATAACGAGGCAAACATCTTTAACCAAACAAACGCCGATCAGTGCACAAACGTTCTCATGTGCTAAGTGAGCAAATTTCTCTGCCTCGGAGAGGACGTCGGAAACAGCTTTCATAGTATCGTACGTCGTGTGACGTGCGACTTTCACAGCCACATCTTCTCCTTTGTACTGGGCTCTGTATACCTTGCCAAACCCGCCCAGACCAATAACGTCCCCTAGTTTAATGTCGTCAGCCGGTATCTCAAGAGGGTATTCAAAATCGGTATCGTCCGATTGAGCCTCAAGTTGTGAGACGACTTTGACGGATGCTGCTGGGAAGATTCCCACAGTACCTTTAGAGTTCCGGCCCGCCCACCAGCCAATGTTACGGGAGACAATCATGTCTTTTGAGAGTATTTCTATCCTTTCCCCAACTGTGAGTGTGATCTCATCTGGATAGAGTCCTTTAAAATCTCCAATCACTATACCTATGTTTTTCACGCCGGGGGACTTCTTGCTCCCGTCACTACCACCTAGAGACCTCGTTCTCTTGAATGCCTTGTTGAGTTGGCCCTCTGGCACTTCTGCTGTTGCTACTGTTGTGAGAGACTGCGAGGGAGTGACGGAAGGAAAGAGGCCAGGGCCATTACCAGGGTCCATCATTGGTGTAGTCGCATTGTTCCCGCTGCTGCTGTTGGTAACAAGATGATTCCCTGGATAGTTTGCTTTTGGGTCCGGGGTAGAGGGTATGATGATGGTTGTGCTAGAGAGATGCTCCTCTTCTCCTGAAACAGTGTTAGCCATCTCTCCCAGTGCATGAAAGATTGAAAATACTTATGACAAAGTCCAAAAATGACAATTTATGAAGATAGGATGAGAATACCGGACATAATGCATAATATGCGCTGACAATATGGGCGGAGCTAAACGGGACTAACCCTGTGCCCATTAGCATGATGGCATGTAATGCTGGAATAGTATCCGCATTTCTCTCGTGTTTTCACCAAGTTTACTGCTATATTAATTACCTTTATATTTATTATTATGCTGCTTATTCCTTTGGTTTGAGTAGCTAAAAATTTAGCATAATTTTTCACTTAAATTATTAAAAGTCAATAATTGAATTTAGATGCTTTATTTTTATTGAAGCTTTTAACTACAAAGCTTAAGTGATAGTTGTATCATCATGTATGAAATCATAGTATCTAAACTATCTATGATAAAACCATGATGATGATTTTTTTTGCTAAAAAAATAAAATGAAACCGTATTTTAATCTATTTATCCGGATGCACTGCTAACTCATGTGAAATATTGAAAGAGGTCGTCGACTCGGCATAACTGAGTAAAGGAGGAGCGAGAGAAGAGATCTCTTCTTACTCTCCTTTTAGTGGTAAGATTGCTACTCTCCAGGACCCAATCTGTTACTTGTTCTATGTAGGAGCATACGGGCCGCTTGTTCTATAAAGAATGGGTCTCGAAGAGATAGGGAATGTAATCTACTTTGGCTTCTTTGCCTCCTTCTTTGGTGGTTGGGTCCCAGTACGTGCAAAGAATCTCAAACTCGCCGTATTCCACCTTTACCTCTTTGTCACCATGCTAATATTCCCTCTTATCATATACATTGTGAGTCCCATCATTGCACAACAATGCATGTACATGTACAATGTACATATAAATATTCTAATGATGAGGGAATATGTGTGTTATAATCTCACCGGAATCCGCTATGAGAACTGTGTGTGTGTGTTTGAGTCATGGTAGCACTGTCATTGTTCAGTTGGGGCCGAGGTTGGTGCTAATTTATTAATTAATATTTGTGTGGGTGGGGTTTTTTAGAATCTGTGCTGGCTAGAAAAACAAACAATGATGCATGAGAAATGAGTGATGAGTGATGTTTCATTTTCGATCATCTCTTTTATCAAATCTTCCTCTCCTTTTTCAGGTTGACAGTACACGTATTGCTGGCTGGGTGGTGTATGGTTTTATAACGGCGATTAGTTTCATATTATTAAAAGTTACGAACTATAGACTGCACAAGGCACTAGGGAGTGATCCACCTCCCGAATCAGAAACACCTTCGTCTGTTGATGAACAGGAGACTAACGACGACACAAAAGAAGATGCTAAAAAAGAAGAGACGACAGAAAATAAACAAGAAGAAGAAGAAGAAGAAGAAGATAATGCCAGTGTAATTATTAAAGATGGCGCTGAAGGTGGAGAGAAAATGGCCGAAGTAGCAAGATTGGAGAGACTCCCAACTTCAGACGATGATAGTAGACACCAGCTGTCAGCGAGTACGCTCAATGATGGCAGCTCGTTGCAATATAATAATATGTCTACTCCAGAGGTTGAATTGTCGCAGGTCTCTCAGCCGTGCATAGAGGAAAAGAAGGAAGAAAAGCAAAGCAGTGAAGGTATAATCTTACCCTTGTATTATAAGGATCCAATAGTTATTATTTGGAGGGGGTATACTTGTTTGTTGACTATTTCAAGTATATCTACATATATATGTATCAAACTTTGCAGGTTCACTTTGTCTACCATGTCTTGCCCAAATAAGTGCATGGGGTTATTAAACACACAGATACTGCCACTGAGAAAGTGCATGTATCACACAATAGTATTTTGTTCTTGTGACAATGATAATTTTTTAATCAAATGCTAACACTTATGTACATTGGTGCGATTTTGTGATGTCTCAGGTAGCAAAAATTTTATAAATTTGTTAAATCACCTGCTGAATATACTTGTGACATTCCACTCCATTATTGTGTGTACATACATGTATATGTATTCATTGCAAGCTAGCCTCAGGCATCGCTGTTAAAATTGAAGGTTGTACTATTATTTAATAATCCTTTTTAGCCTTGCACATATACAGTACAGTACATAATAGCCTAAACATATAATATGTTACACTTAACACTACTACACAATCATTTTAGACTCTCAAGTCAATTTTCATTTTCATTATCCTTGCATGATTAATAATATATAATAAATGCATGTATATTTGTCTCTCTCTACTCATTAGGTGTTGTTGATGATGACATAAAACCGTATGAGGTAAGTCTTCCCTTTCTCTCCCCTCACTCTCTCTCTCTCCCTCTCTCTTATTCCCCTATACATGTACATGTATTTTTAGTCAAGTAACGAAGACCACACCTCTATTGGTAGTCGTCAGAGAGTGTGTCAGCGTAGTTTAAGACAAGACTCCTCAAGAGGCAGGAGAGAAAGAGAGGAGGTAAGCTGAGAGAGAGCGAGGGGTAAAAAAGATTTATGCTACTCGCTCTTTTAAAGACACTCCAAGAGGTTTCCAATGTTCTTAGTCAGACTCCTTACTCTGAACTCTCCCAAGTTGTTAATAAAATGCCGACTCGTGTCCACGAGGTAATAATGCCGCCATACAATCACATGATAGTCACGTGATCTTTATTCTCAGGCTATATTGAGTGGGGTTGTCACTGATGAAGAATATCGCTCATTGGTATCGCGTATTGGTGAGTTGAGAAGAGGAAAGCATTTAGCAGTAGACACTGAAGATTTCAGTCCTGGATCAATACACTGGATTGATGGTAGTACCGTATTTATTAGTAGCAGCTGCATATCAAATGATACATGATCTCTATTTCTCACTCCATTAGGCCAAATTGATTTTTACGTGTTTGATAACGAGACAGAGGATGAAGACTTTACAGCAATGCTACGCGATTTAATGAGGAACGACTTTGAAAGCTACCCTACTTTCTTTCAGACTCCGCCCACTCCACCTGTAGTACCCCCAAAACCTAAAAAACCCGATATAGATGACCACGCCCAAAACGACGATTCGTCTCTGCCCACGCCTTACATTCTGTTATTGCCGAGAATAGCAAAAACAAAAGTAACTTTAAATTTTACCCGAAGGCAATTAGAGGATTACATGGACAGGTATGGAGTGATTGTTGTGGGTATGGCTTACCTTATTAATAGGAATGTGTCTATCACTGAGGTTGTTATTGCTATTACACTGTCAGTGCTAGTGTGTGTCATTGGGGCACTACTGCTCACCATTCCGGAGTATTACAATGGATTCTGGGTATTTGCTCTCTGCTTTGTAATCGCCACTACACACTTCTCTCTTATAAAGGTAAAACCCGTGTACATATGTGTAACCATTTATGTACATGTATATGTACATGTATGTAACCATTTATGTACATGTATGTGTACTGTATAAAAGATAAAAGAATCCATAGGATTGCATTGTTTATCATAATATAGTTTGTTTTATCATAATGTATTGCACGTAGCACAGTCCAGTTTCATGATTTGGTTGCCATTTAAAGTGTTACTGGTTTGCTTAATAAGGTTTCATTAAAATGCAATGTTTAAGATATGCATGTATGCTCTATAAAAATGCTATAAAAGCATAGTAATTACCATTTTGAGCTTCATAATTCCAGTGATTCAGTCCCTCTATTACATGTATGACTTGCTCTCCTTAATTTTCAATTGTATGTATTTGACGAATTTCAGTGTTTCATGTATCTACGTGTACATGTACATGTACTATTTTAGGAGCATGACATTGTGTCATTCATGTGTTGTGCATCATGTGTTTTGTGTTATGAAAAACATTATATTCTCTATTGTTTTTTTAAACTTTCCTACAGAGCGTCCAGTCTGATCCTGCTTCCCCTAGTCCCGTAAGTTTATAAATCACAGTCTGTGTATAATGTATCAGTCTGGGGATAATAATTGTGTGTGTGTATGTGTGTCACATGTTGCTGGTAGTGAGTCATTACCTGCATGATGCATGTATATGAACTCATGGAGTGAATTGGGTGAATTTTTGGTATGAGTGTGTGTACATGTATGTGAACAGCTGCATATTTTTGAATATTTAATATCATTATTGTCATACATGTACTCCTACTCTTTCCTTCCTTCCTGTTTTTATACTCTCTTTCTCCTTCCTTCTTCTCTCTCTCTCTCACACACACACTATATTCCTTTCTCTTTTCTTTCTCCAGGGTCAAAATCGCATCAATGCAATGGGTAGAGCTTTTTATTTCATATTTGTTGGGATTTTGGCTTTACTGTTTGATGTGATACTCCGCAACACGGGCAGTTACACTCCGGCCTGTATTTATCATTTTAATTACAACAATCCTGAGCTCATCACTTTTATTAGGGATGGACTCTTCAGTAAGCTTCGCAAAAAAACTATTTTAATGCTCCTTTTTATTTTGATATTTTAGTATTCATTCTATTGTTGCCTATTCTATTCACTCTTGGTTGGATGCCACAGTGTGACACGTTTCTAATTAATGCCCTTGAACATATTGATATTCACATCTTTGGCGGTACAGGTAAGACCAATTGTATCGGTATCACATTGCCTAAATTTACCCTCTCTCTCTCTCTCTCTCCCTCCCTCTCTCCCTCCCTCCCTCCCTCCCTCCCTCCCTCTCTCTCCCTCTCTCTCTCTCTCTCTGTGTCTCTCTCTCTCTTTCTCCTTCCTAGCTTCAACTGGTTTGATTTGTAGTGCCTATGGTATGGTTAGAAATCTTTTTGCTGTAGCTTGTCTCCTACCACTTGGCTATGCTGCCTTTGTCTCTTTGGAAAACGTATGATATTCTATTCTCTTTTAAAGCCATATACTGCCTCTAATTGAATTACACATGATGTGACTTTATTGTATACACTCTGTCATGAGGTTTATCTAGAATATCATATTTTTAGTTGCATATAGTGCCCTATTTACGCTATAAACCAGTATAAGTCGGTTTCAAACCACATTGAAATTGTCCACACCCACACGTAAATTGATTAATTTCTAAACCGGTTCCATACCGCTTTAAGGGCATAGTGTAAACGGGGCTATATACTGCCTCTAATTGAATTACACATGATGTGACATTATTGTATACACTCTGTCATGAGGTTTATCTAGAATATCTTATTTTTAGTTGCATTAGACTGTTCTTATCTAGTGGTGTGTAGTATATACATGTAGTTGTTGATAAAATGTGTATCTGCCTTTTGTCACAAAGAGTATAGTGGCTGTATTACACTTTCTCTTTCCTCTTTAAGGCATACAGCAATCATCCTATCATTCACTGTATTCTCATGTGCTACTACTACTGATTAATATAGTGAATATCTGGACACATTGTGTATAATTATATATTATTACAAAACATAATGCAATTGCAATTGATAAGCATGTACATGCACAGTATAATAAACAGTATGACTGTGTGAGATTGAGTTATTTAACATGTGGTATGTGATTGAAAGGGGATTATTATTCTAAATGTACTGTACATGCACATACTACAATGCATGGTGTAACTATACACTGGATGTGGACTAATATGCTTTTGACACTAAAACAGGAAATGTTTAATGAGGCTCTAATTATGTTAACCAGAACTCACACATTCAATTGCATATTTAGTATAACTGATAAAATACTAATTTGCATACTGAACACATTGCTAACTTCAACTTTGTCACACACGCACACACGCACAATTCTAATTTCATTATTATTAATTATTAATACATATTTTTTAATACTCTTTAGGACCCTGGCTACATTGGCAGCGATTGCTCTGTGACATTTTCCAGTTACCGCAAGAGCGAGGATCTCTTGATACTAAGTCAGCAGTGTACTAATTCCGGTCGAGTCGCTCTCTCCTTCTTTCTTGGAGGTGTGGTCATGGCTTCGTACGCTCTTAGTCGCTCGACCACTAACCATCAATACATACTGTTAGTCCTCCTTATTATGTAGGCATGGCCTTTAAGTATTTTATTTTTTAGTGATTTGGCTCTCATGTGTTTGAAAAAGGTTTGGGATAAATTAAGACACACCCATCACTCGGCCCCTCCTACGATCGACCCTCTCGACCAAATGTATCGTAAGATTATGGTATGTGCCTCTTCTAGTGGGTGTGGTTTAATTAATTAATTTAATTATTATGATTATTAGTGTAAGAGGCTTCTCGTTGATGCTGCTGTTGGTTTGTTGCTTTTGGTTACTGTCACTATACTGAATCTCACCACTCTATTCTGTCAAACTGAGGTAAGGGAATATATACATGTACATGTACAGTACTGCATTCATGTACATTACTGCATTCATGTACATGTACATGTACATTGTACATGTACATGTACCATTTACATGTACCCATGTTTGCTTGAAATTGTAACACATGTACATTGCTGCATTCATTAAATGGTACAGTACATTTACATTTATACCCACATTAGCTGGTAACGTGATAATGTGCATAATAAAATCATGTTTTCACTACACGTACATACATGTACATGTAGTACATGTAATACTTGGTTCCCTTGATATTGCAAATTTCAGTTACTCAGATATTAATCATTACCCATTTATGTATTATACACAATTACTTAATCAGTATCACTTACATGAACATGTAGTACTACCATTGAAACCATATTTATCCATGACATAATATTTTAATGAACGGAAGTACAACTGTGATTACACACTATGATGTGAAGTTCACACATCATCATTTCAACTGATGGCACTTCCTTTAGCACTGTCTCTTGATGAGGATATGATTATCATTAATGTTCTGCAAGGAAATGGGTACCATGACTCGGAAATGGGTACCAATCTCATGACTCAGAAGTCCAATTATTACATGTGCATGTGTATACATGAATGTACATGTACATGTACATATAAAGAGTCAGTATAGCTACATATTGAAAGTGTTTAGTTTGTTTGTTTGTTTTTGTTTGTTTTTACTTTTTGTTCAGCTTTATGCATGTACAGGTACCTACTTTAGATATTTTACTATTGTTGTATTTGGGAAATTTTATCAAATAATGTCCTTGAAGCTATTTTCTAGATGCACATTTTTTAAATTTTATTTTTAGGTGTTAGCTTATGTTGTGTATGGAATAACTGGAGTCCTTGGGATCATCAATCATTACTTGTTGCCCCATCTTCGTAAGGAGACTCCTTATCTCTGCTTCACTAAACCTTGTATCACTTCCGACGAGTACAACCAATTTGAAGTCACAGGTATTAACCACACCCACGTTGTTATTAATTAGTGACCACGCCCATTTTATTGACCACACCCCCTATCACTGATATTTACTATTATTATTATTGTGTAGAGCAACCCAAAGTCTCTCTCGTTGAGCAGTTGTTGCAAGTTTCGCTTTTTCTTGAGAAGAACGTGTTTTATCCTCTTTGCTTTTTATTTGGTATTAACATCACTGCAGTGTACTACAGAGCAAAGTTTGGGGAAATGTAAGAAGCTTATACATGTACATGTACATTGTACGTGTACATTCAACTTGATGTACATGTACATGTATTTTATTTTAATTTTAAATTGGAATGATATCATTCAACAAAGAAAAACAGCATTCATATTTATACAATTTGTAAAGAACAAGTTAATAAATAAATATGTTAAGTTAAATGAATATGTATTTATTTATATTTATTTTATTTTTTCCTATTATTGTGTGTGTGTGTGTGTGTGTAGTGGTGCTGCCCTTGTTGTTAGTGTTGTTGGTATGAAGTTGTTCAGGACTGCCTACTCTGAGCTCTCGAGACAGCACGCCATTCTCATACTCTCCCTCCTCTTCTTTAACTTTGATTACGCTCACTTGAACGAGGGATTCCCTATTAATTATTTCGTCGCTGCCATACTGTTCAGCAAAGTAAGAGATGATTTAATGTAATTATTAAGAAGGAATGGAGAGAAAGAGAGAGAAGTGCATGTACATGTACATGTATATTATGGTATATTATAAATTTTTTGTTATTGTGTCATAGTAATTTTTAATTTTGTAGGTATATGAGCTTTATTTGAAGGTGTACTTCATCTTGATATACATCATGCCTGGTTCTTGGAGCTCTCCTTTTCACATTGTCATACAACCTTTACTGATACCTCGTATCCTTTGTAATATACTCCTTTTTATAATTTTTCTGATACAGGGGTTTTGGCCAAATTTTGCTGGAAAATGACTAGGAGAGAATTCTCTATTTTATGATTTTTTTCTGATGCATATACATGTTTTTATGTTATGTAGCAAGTTTGAGCTTGTTCTGATCAAGATTGGATTTTTTATGAATTTTTAAAGTTGCTTCAAAATTGGGCCAAAGTCCCTGTACTATAGTACAGGGATTTTGGCCAAATTTCGCTAAAAATGACTAGGAGAGAATTCTACATTTTAATAATTTTATCTGATACATATACATGTTTTTATGTTGTGTAGCAAGTTTGAGCTTGTTCCGATCAAGATTGGATTTTTTATGAATTTTTAAAGTTACTCAAAAATTTGGCCTAAGATCACTAGACTTTTAACATTCCTCAAAAATGGCTGGGAGACAATTCTCCATTTTAATATCAAATCACATGTATTTCAGCTGCTAATCAACAGCTTATTTTTGATGTTTGCCCTTAACAATTTCCATAGACTGCCCATTGATATTTTTTGAGACTCTAATAGGCACAATGATCAATGCTCCAATGAATCCTGTTATTGCCTCCTCCATGTTCTTCCTTTCGTACGCTAGACCAATAAAATTCTGGGAGAAAGACTACAAGTATGTACATCTACACATGTACATGTGTATATTAATTACATGTGTATATTAATTACACGTATTATTTGAGGGATTTTTTATTTTGTTATTTGTCTACCATGAGAAAAAGGAAAGGAATGGAGATACATGTGCATCTAATTTTTGTAAATTTTTCTTCTTTAGTACTAAAAGACGTGATACTAGTAACACTAGACTGGAACAGCAATTAGAAACCAATATTAGAAGTGAGAGAGAGAGAGAAAGAGAGAGAGAGAGAGAGAGAGAGAGAGAGAGAGAGAGAGAGAGAGAGAGAGAGAGAGAGAGAGAGAGAGAGAGAGAGGAACTGAATGTTAATATGATAATATTATGGTTTTAATTTATTTTGTTTAATTGAAGGGAACCATTAGTTAATGATACGTAATACATACGTTATTTAGTAATTGTGTAATAATTTTTTGTACACAAGGAAATGGAAAGTATGTCCTCCCACTTGTGCAGCAGACAGTACAGTCTGATGTCAACTGAGTGTAAATAATGGAGCAGTGAATAATTTCTTAACTATATGACATCACTCATGCCATTCAGTCCAAAATACTCCATTGCTTATACAAGTACATGTACAGTGTTCATGTGCATGCAGTTACTATAGCAGGGAGCATGGAATTGACTGTACAATGTACATGTGTACATGTAGTATGGGTAATTGGGTATGTCATACACACACATCATTGCTGCTGGGGGTGCTCTTGTTCATGATTGCACAATGATGCAATGTGCATTATATTGTAGCTTATTGCACGACCTTACATCAGCATTCAGCAGTGGGGAAATGCCAAAGATACTATGACCTACATGTACATACATACTACAAATGGTATCTTTATTCTATATTCGTCTGGTGTAATCTCATTGATTGTTTGCTTGATTGTTTATCTGCTTGTATGTATTCAACATGTGATTGTTAATGAGATCTCGAAATACATTATTTCACCAATTAAAGTGTGATGCTATGAGCAATGTTTTGTGTGCCCTCTCTTCCTATGCGTGCTTTCATGAATGCTGCACTTTATACTTAATTAGCTGTAGCTCACACTCTTCTCTTAATTTATATAATTACCACATCACATGCTCTATCTTGCACAGTTTCCACTTCAAGCAGAGAACAACCTTTTCTTCCTTTTTTGTACATGCACTCCTGACATCACCAGTACCCTCTGTTATACAGTATGCAAAGAGTTGTATAATAGCTTTATATGGGCATTATAATTTCTGATGTAATAATCTTTTATCTTACTTAAGTACTAAACTTCATCATGTGCATGTATGTGCATTCGGGGTCATTGCATTACATCCTCATTATAATTGGCTTTTCCCTTTTTTTGACTGCGCCCCCGTCTTGTATTTGTTAAACCCAGTTACATGTACATGTACATGTGAATGCAATTTTAAAATTATCGTAATGACAGTTCTTCCTTATAACATTTTTAAGGTGATTTCCAAATTAGTTGGAAGGATATACTGTATAGTGCTAGCTTCAGATCAGTAGCTTGTTTTATCCATACATGTAGTTAAACCATTGTGCAAGTGTATAGTACACTAGTATTATAGTATAGTGTAATCTGTTTTGTGTTTTGTGGTGATTCATCTTAAGTTAATATTCAGTCTATTTCTTTAATTAGTGCCACAGTCTATAGCCCCGTTTATACTACAAACCAGTTTGGATCAAAGCGGTTCAGAAACCAGCTTAGTTGTGTCCACACGTAACTGTGGTTGAATCGGTTTACAATGCTACATTGCATACATAATACAGCTGCTTCAGTACTTAAACCGGTTTGATTATCTCAAACCACCTCCTGAGTCGGTTTGAAACCGCATTGAAATTGTCCACACATAAACTGATTTATTTCTAAACCAGTTCCAAACCGCTTTAAGGGCATAGTGTAATGGGGCTATAATATGGCATTTGTATACACAAGTGTCCAGTCACATGAATTTCCAAGCACATGCACATACCAGTACATGCATGTATAGAACTTGTGCCATATAAATATGTAATGAAGTTTACAAGTAGCCTAATATTATGCATGTATAATTTTTTATTCACTTTCGTAAATGAATCGGTAAAAATTGACTTCGTACATTAATTATTTCTTGTCGTCCGCTATATAAAATAATTGTATAATTATTTATCTTTTCTGCTTTTCTCTCTCTCCCTCCATCAGACCCTAATCCCGATCATTTGGACAGTCTGTTCTACGAGCAGCTCTCCTGGTCGCTCCAGCGTGACCTCTGTGGTGACATCATGCTGGGTAGGTGGGGGCGTGTCACCTCCGGAGACTTCTTCATACTAACGAATGACCAGTTGAACGCGTTGGTACACATTATTGAGATCGGCAATGGATTTGTTACTTTCCAACTTAGAGGACTGGAATTTAGAGGTACAGAGGACATAATGTCTTCTACTCTTAAATTACATACAATCAGTAATACATTTATAAGCAGGGCTATTGAACTGTGCTATAGGTTCTAACTTTATATTTTATAATAATAGCGCATGTTACGTTTTATACACAGCAGTGCTATAGGCACTTGTTTTTCTATTTTTTGTATGCATACATGTACATGTACATGCAGTAGGCGGAATATTACGTATTAAAAGTAAATAAACATGTACATGTATTTTTATTGTAATTTTACATATATAATAAACATTACGTATTAAAGGTAAGTACTAAGTATGTACACGTAGTGTCACGTACATGCATGTATTTCTCGTAATTTGACATGTACATGTACATTTAGGTACTTATTGTCATCAGAGGGAGAGAGAAGCCATAGCAGAACCATTCTCAGACGATGAAGGTAAGACGGTCACTGATTCCCTCCCATCATTGTCACGTGATACCAATAGGTTGCTGCTGTTGTCGGCTCCCTTACACTCTAGCCTGTAACAAGGCTCTCTGTGCTCGCTGGATGGCGTGGGAGGTTATATCATCCTCGTACACACTCCACGGATACAGTATATCAGAGAACCAGGCACACTTAGCTTTTAATGCCTTTGACTATAAGAAAATGTTTGTCACTTATTATGTGAAGGTAAGATAGCATTGCTAAGAAGAACATGTACATGTACAATGTACATTCCTTATATGGGTGTACATGTACATGTACATGTACAATGTACATTGCACATTCCTTATATGGATGTACATGTACATGTAAACGTATATAATACATGTATGTACATCCTCCGGTATTTTTTTTCTTGCTTGACTTATACTTCTCTCTTTGTGACTCATTTCTTAGTTTTATGTATACATGTACAGTGTATGTACATGTATATATACTTTGATAAGTAATGGCCTATTTTTCTCTCTCTTCCTTGTAGTGTATAATCTATTATTTGTTCAAGTATCCTCAGTTGCTTGAGTTACTATCCAACGAGCAGTTACAAGAGTCCCTAGCGTTGCTAACTGATCCTGATTCGAGCGATCTCGATCCTCTCTTTGATCAGCACAGAAATATTGACTACAGCAGTACGTCTGGTGGGATTTCAAGAAGGAACTTTGTCACGTCTCACTACGACTTTATACTTACCTGCGTCAGAAAGAGCTCTATTGGAGCGACAGAAGTGAGACCCTATCACATATATTTTTGTAATCAGCATGTGACTATCATGAAGTTATCATTACTGTACATGTATACATGTATATTTTAAATTTCTAATAGATTGATACGAGTGAGGAGTCCTTTCTTGTCACGTTATGTTTTGCTTATTCGTTGTTGGGCAGACGTCTGTTTTTCACTCACGCCAACACTGGATCAGGAAGAAGAGGGTATGTGTGTTATTATTATTAGTTACTGCTCTAGTTATTGGATTGTTTTAGTGATAACTTTATGCATGGGCTATATCGTATGTTCCTCGGTGATGCACGTCCTAACGGCGAAAAAGACGAATGGATTTTCATTGATGTTGACAGTATACAGCAAGTTATTATACCAGCTGTTAGGACAGCACTCAAAGTTCACCAGGTAAAGAAAAAATTGACTCCAAATTTTGATTTATTTTCTAAAACATATTGACCTTGTGCTATATAGAAAATTTGAATTGATTCCAAACTCAAATTTTAAAGTTACGACCTTTTTTTTAAATTGGCCAATTTCTAAAAAATACCCTGTACTATAGTCCATGCTTTTTTCTGAAAAATGGCTCCGAAATCACCCCCAATTTTTATTACATTTTTTGATGCATATTGATGCCCTTATGCTATGTATAAAGTTTGAGCTGATTCTGAGCTCAAATTTTTAAGTTACGACCAATTTTTAAAATTGGCCAATTTCTGAAAAATACCCTGTACTATAGTCCATGCTTTTTTTCTGAAAAATGGCTTTGAAATCACCCCCAATTTTTATTACATTTTTTGATGCATATTGATGCCCTTATGCTATGTAGAAAGTTTGAGCCGATTCTGAGCTCAAATTTTTAAGTTACGGCCAATTTTAAAAATTGGCCAATTTCTGAAAAATACCCTGTACTATAGCCCATGCTTTTTTCCAAAAAATGGCTCCGAAATCACCCCCAATTTTTATTATATTTTCTGATGCATATTGGTGTCCTAATGCTATGTAGAAAGTTTGAGCTGATTCTGAACTCAAATTTTTGAGTTACGTCTTACATTATAAATTCCTTTCTCTTATTACAGGATAGCTTTACATTCACAGCTGGTGAGACGGAAGCCTCCGAAGCAATATACGACGCTATCATTGATACTGATAATAATCATCTGGTGACGCATGAAAATGATAGAATATGGAGAGACGGAGTATTCCTCAATAGACCCTCACTATTAGCTTTAAGGTACCCTTTAAATAATATCCCATGGCTAGTTGTACATGTACATGCACTTAAAATAAGGATTTGGTTTTACCGTGCTACGTTTATTTTTTAAATATTCATGCAGATATCAACGCACTGAAGATTCTTATGTCCATCCTTACAAGATAATAAGATTGACGTCAAAATTTATTAAATTCCGTGTTGTCAAGGTTAGCATGGGTGTGGTCAAAAAGGCGTGGTTACATTCCTCTTGTACATGTATAGGTAAACCGCGAATGTGTTCGTAGTCTATGGAGCAGCCAGCAACACGAGTTGATATTCCTACGGAACAGCGACAGTGAACGTGGATCCATACAGAACCACAAAGCCTCTCTTAGGAATATGATTAATTCGTCCATGGACCTTCCGATCGGGTACCCAATATACGTATCACCACTCCAGACCTCGTTCTTAGAGAGACACGCCCCCTTTAACGAATCAAAGATCGGCCAAGCCTCGAATCCAGGGAAATACTGGGAATATTTGAAGAAATTTTATCAAAAGTTTTGCACTGAGTCTCCACGCACTAGACGAAACCGAAGGTCAAAGGTCACGTCATCCCTTGCTAGCGCCGATAGTCTAACGGGCGTGGTCAGACGGACCAGTGACGGGCCGAGCAATGTACATACTCTTGACGAAGGACGGCCTCATGCAGCTAACATTGACGATGATTCTGACTCGGACGACGATTTCTGGAAACCGATTTGGATTGGGAAACAGGTCGCGATAGTTAACGAGGACGAGATTTTTAACTCTTTCAACGAAAACTGGCTCCAATGGCCTGACAAGAGCTGGCCTGGGAAAGCCACACCCACAAGCTGGGCGGGATGGAAGCCATGCAAAGGAATGACTGGAGAAGTAATCCACGAGTGGAGACCGTTTCATGTCACTTCGACAAGTCGTAGTCACATTGATAAAGTTATATTGTTAATAAAGGTTGCCGATAATTTGGTTCTAATTAAAGAGCAGGGTGTACACGAGGTTTGAAATGACATTTATTATTATTATTATTCAAATTTATTATTATTATTTCTAAAAGTAGCTTATTGCATATTAATATTATAATTATTAGTGTTTGTTTGTAACAATAATAATAATAACACTGTGACTAATATATATTGTTGTTTATACCATAATAATAATAATTGTTTGTATTTATCAGCAAAAAAGAGACACAGACAACAATTAAGAGCAGCAGCAGGCAGACATGTATTAGTTATTAAAGGACAGCAAGTGAAGCAATTGTGGCTCTAAGTATGTTAACTTGGTTCTGGTGACGTTTAAGAAAAATAAAATACACAATACAAAACAAAAAATTACCTTAGCGTGCTTCAACTGCAATTCAGTCAAATCAATCTAAAAAAAGGAAGAGTATACATAGATTAAGGAGTAAGTCATTATCTACATCATATCTACACGTTAAATAGCAAAAACTTCAAAAAGTGTATTCTTTTTTTGTGGGTACCCACCAGGTTTTTCCTAAAAGCAGCAACTCTGCGTCCTTTGAAACTTGTCAATTCTACACAGCAAGAGCATATGTAAATAATGGAATATGCTGAGTATATCAGTACTGACCTTGCTTGCCATTTTCAGAGAGCTTTTCAAACTTTTCAGTATTGTTCTTCTGTACAGCTTCAGCCTATTAAACACACAAATCATACATTGTACATACTGTACATGTACAGACATTATAACATTGTACATACTGTACATGTACAAGTACAGGTAAGGTTGGTACCTCAATGACTCCTTTGTTCTTTGTACGAGCTTTCTCAAGAGCTTTATTGGATCCTTCAAGATTAGCCAAACTCCTCATCCTACGATACAGCAGATCCTAAAGAGAAAGAGAGAGAGTTATGTACATGTACACGTATGAATGTATGTACATGTACATGTATACTGTATGTGGGACATGTGTACATATGTACATGTACATGTACATGTATACTGTATGTGGGACATGTGTGTACATGTACATGTATACTGTATGTGACATAATGTGGTACTCAGAACTGACCAGTCCAGCTTGAGAGTCTCGCTCATAATAACGAAGGATATCAGAAAATTTGAGGTCTTCGTCTGTTGAAACGCGTGACTCAAGTTTCTAATAACATGAGAGAGTATTGACATGGTAATATACTGTATCTAGTTAAAACTTACCCTCAACTTTTCAAATGTCTCACTTGTCTTCTTATACATCCTATTAAGAAGATATTAATAATAAATGTATATTTGTATATAAAGTACATACACAGCCTTACCCAGATAATGGATCATCTTTAGTGATCGGAAGAAGTGAAATGTACGAAGCGACGCCAATAAGAGAGTCTGCGAGTCTTTTGTGAGCTTTAGTAGTTCGATCGGACTGTTTGGTACTTTCCTTAACCCTAAGTGTGAGGATAATTAAAGATAAAGGAGAGACATTATTGGGCACTCCTCACTGTGTGTGGTAGTCTGTCAAAAACTTCTTCTCTCCTTCAAACCAGGGGTCAACGTCTTTGTGGTTCTTGAGTATGATTCCCTCGTCCACGGACTTTGATATACCTTTAAACATGGAGCCAAACCTCTCGCGAGTGTTCTTAGACCTAACGGTGAGCTATAAAGAAAGAATGAGGATTGAAACGGAATGTAAATTAAAATGAAAATGAAGTAAAATAATAGGTAAGTAAGTGTAAATAGAACTTGCCTCTCCGTCAAATTCAAGGAAAGTCTGGAAGTTGTAATCATCCCTAAAGACAGGGTGAGCTGCCAAACGCTGCAAAAACACTTCATGCATTGCAACAGTCTTTTTAAACAAAGCTAGATACTCCCTAGAATAATAATAGGATAATGATAGAGAGGGACAATATGTACAACTGACCCTTCAAGCTCTTGTTTCATTTTAGTGTATTCTTCTTTAGTCATTGTGTCTTCACCTGATGAGAGAGAGAGAGGGAGAGAGAGAGAGAGATTAAGTGAAATTAATGGAGACATTATGCCACTTGCATACCTTCACGGAGTTTGCTCAGTTTCTGTCTCGGCTCATCAAAGTCAGGTTTAGGAGGAGCAGGTGGAATCTACAAATGAATCAGAAAAAATAAACTGATTTAGCTAGGCACACCCACTAACAAGATATCCTGCAAATGTTTCATTCTCTACATATTGATCGTGGAGCCATATGAACTCCTCGTGCTGTCTCACGACAGAGAAATCAGCTTTCTTGAAAGCTTTTAGCGTAGTCTTGAGTAAAAGGATACAAATCACATAAAAATACACACCAATAGATCTATCATTATTTGATTGTTTACTTTAGTGTGAACCGTAAACTTGACTTTCTCTTGTTCGCTGAGAGCATCAGATATATCAATCTGAAGTGAAGTATCTTTAGTTAGATCAACTGACACGGACTGGAAGAGAACAATTGCAATATTAAATTTATATGCAATTAATTCCAATATTGAGGTACTTTGGGTTTTGAAGGCGGTGTCTCGGGTGATGCATCTCCTTCACTAGCCTGTAATAAATCACATAAACTCTGTGAGATTAAAAATATTAACAAAACCTACCATATCGATGTCTTTGCAGAGAGTATTTTGGTTGTAGTGGGCACGCCCTCCTTTTGAAGAATCACGTGACAGAAACTGCCTCGCCCATAGATCTAATATCACGTGATTATCATTGTAATGGGTGTGGTCGTGTGCATGTGTAACTATGGCAACTGAAAAGATGGAGGCTGGGGGTAATGGTAAGGAAGAGACTGACCAGCAACACCAGCTCCCCAAGAGAGTCCAGGTACTACAACGAGTCCCCTCTGTTCATTGTTTCTCCTTGTAGCAACATTTGGACATAGAGAGAGCAGGAGTGAAGCCAGGGCCAACAAGAGTTGAAGTTATGGGACTTAACACAAGAGCTTATCTTGATCAGACTGTAGTCCCTATACTGATTGAGGGCATGGCCGTCCTGGCAAAGGAAAGGTAAGAGATCCTAGTGCTTCTCTTCATGTTTCCATTCCTATTCTTAGACCTCCTGACCCGATTGAGTATCTGGCAGCCTACCTACTGAAATATAAGGAACGTTATCAAACTGATTATTATCCAAAGGAAAAGAGCTCATGATTTGTGTAAAATTCATATAATATTTAATGGAAAGAAAGAACCAGCAATGAATCAGCTACCTTGTACTTCATGTACAGTTGTATCCAAATCTATCTTAGGCCAGAAACTCGGGTTTTACAGATTTTATGTAAAAGCAACATGAAGCTCTTTTAACACATGGTTTGTATGCAATAATGCTCTGGCTTGCATAGATTATAATATGTAAGGAAGGCTAAAGCATGTCATTATTATTAATTAATATCACACACTCAAATGACAGCATTAGAGTACAATGTTCCACGATCTTAACACTCTATAAGATCAATTCATCAGAGCCATTAGTCCCTCTGCTTCTAGAGGATCCAGTTATTGGAGACACTGGACGACGGTACGATTCATTGTGTGTTCCAACTGTACCAAGCGTCTCCTTCACAGTACCATAATTTGCTGTTCCTCCATTTCCTTCCCTTTTATCTCCATTCCCTTCTCTTCCATTTTTTTCTAAGCTCGTATATAAATGCACATTCTCGCTGTCTCTTTGAGCTAGGTTCCCCATCATGCGAGCTGTGGGATCTGGGATCTCCCCTGGACCAGTAAATAGGAGATTCCCCTCAAGTTTGATGTTACTGTGCCCAAAAACCTTATTAAAAACCCTAAACAACAGTACACAGAAATGAATTAAACCTCTCCCATGCACCTCATCTCATTAATCTTACCAGAACAGACAAGAGTTCCAGCATTTTCCATACTTGCTGGTAGAGTGAGATGGTATTACTTTAGGTATTGGTATCAAGAAGAGTAGCCCATACATAAACCCACATATGGCCACAGTGAAACCTATCATGAGTGTTGCACCCAATAACTGAGCAGCAAGCCGTTCACCAAAGTTCTGCATTACATAAAAGAAGAGAAAAAAATTAATGAAAAAATACGTCATTGATTTTTTAAAGACAAGACTTACCAGAGGTGGTAATCTTATGCTACAGTAGCAAAGACCCTCAAATGTTGCATGAAGATTACAAAGTGACTTTTTTGTCACCACAAACAATGCGACGGCTAACATGCTCCAGAGACCACTACAAAAAAAGTTTATCTTAACAAAAGTTTATTTAGTACAAACATACAATACTTTATTATAGTTAATAGTCACGTTGATCTTACCAGAAGCCATGAACAGGTACAACTCTAGCTGTGTCTTCAATCTTCAATTTATACTCCAACCAGCAACCAACATGATAGATTATGACAGCAATGGCTGATAATAATAATACATATATTCATGAGCAATGTATTCTTTCTTATAAGCATTGGTCTACCTCCAATCAGACAAGCTCCCCAGTACTCTACAAATGGACAGGAAGAGGTGATGGCCACCAGAGCAGAGAGTACGCCATTAGCAATCTCATTTGCATTCATTGACTCAGACTGAGAACGAATCTGAAGAAAGAAACTTGAATGCTTTTTTGGTTTTTTTTTAATAATTTTCTTTCAAACCTGAGCCCAGGATGCTATCATGACTGCAAGAATCCCACCGGAAGCAGCAGCCATTATCATGTTGACAGCAATGATAGAAGGCATTGCATGGTAAGGATAAGGAGTGTATTCATGAGCTATTGTGTTATAATAATAATAATGAAAACCTCATCATGCACACACAGTTATTGCAACATACACTCAATGCTTTCAGTTGAGCCGCAGTTAAAAGCAAACCTGAAGAGAAAAACTATAGTAATTATCAGTCGAATAATTCACAGAAAATACATAACAAGCAAGCTACTCCTCATTCAATGGATGTACATAACATACATACATACAGATTTCATTTTCATATCACATACCAGCAGAACCACAGTATAAAGACACCAAGTGCAGCTTCGTTGGTACTCTCTCCTCCTCCGTGAACTGGATACATCCAATCCCAAAAGCCTCTATACAAGAGAAAAATTTAATGAAAAATAGAAAAAAAAAGAGAGAAACTCACTCTGGCTTTACAACTTCGCGCTCTTCTCTAACCACAATAGACTGTTCGCCCTATATTGATTAATAATAAAAATATCCTAACAATATCCTAGAGTATAACTTATGTACAGGCGGTCTGTTTGACTGAGCCTTGTCATCCATATACTTATTCAATTTTGCTAGGAGACACAACAGAAGTCCAGCAACGCCTCCTACAGAAATAAAGAATACAAACAATTACTTATGGGGATAACAAAACCTAAGAGATGTACAGCTCCTCCACCAGCAAAGTCTAAGATATAAAGCCTTTTGTGTAGACTCATCTCAGCTTCACAGTTGTAAGACTGGGACACATTGCTCTCATTGCAAAAACGATACGGAGAGAGAGAAGACTGATAGTCCGACCATATGACACGGGCAACAACAGGATGAACAATGCCCTGAATCACGAGAGAAATAATTATAACTTATGCATGAACTAGAGTATTGACAGCTTACACTAATGACAAAGGCACTGATAAAGGCAGCAGGCAGGCGTAACTTGTAACGATTTGTTACTAGACAGCCCCCAATGATAGTGGCTGCATTACTAGCAAATGTAAACTAAAAATTGTTATTAGAAATAAAAATAATTTTAGCACTTAACGAGTGAGAAATACCTTAAAGAACCAGAGGACAGCATCCGATATCTCAAAGAACTGAGGTTTCATATCTTGAGGAGATGAATAGTGAGATATTAGATCAAACCCGATGAAGAAGAATCCAAACGCACTAGCAAAAGCATCCAAATGTTTCTAAAATGTTAATAGTGAAATTAATGCCATCATTTGTATTACACTAGGTTGTTATTCTACCGTAAATTTGAAAACA